GCCAGAGGTATCGATATTCCCGTTCTTGCCAACGTCATCAACTACGACTTCCCTTCACAGCCCAAGATCTTCATTCACCGTGTCGGTCGTACTGCTCGTGCAGGCCAAAAGGGTTGGAGTTACAGTCTTGTTCGCGACAAAGATGCCCCGTATCTTCTGGATCTTCAGTTGTTCTTGGGACGCAGGCTGGTTCTCGGTCGTCAATACGGCACTGATCTCAACTTTGCAGAGGATGTTGTCGTAGGAACGCTGCCGAGAGAGCCTATCTCCCGCACTTGCGAATGGGTACAGAAGGTGCTCGACGATGATATCGATATTTATGGACAGAAGCAAGTATCCCAAAAGGGAGAGAAGCTGTATCTGCGCACCCGCAATTCGGCTTCTGCCGAGAGTGCTAAGCGGTCGAAGGAGGTTGTTTCATCTGATCACTGGGCCGAGATTCACCCGCTCTTCAACGACGCAACCAGTGAGAGGGAAGTAGAGCGAGAGAGTATGCTGGCCCGCATTGGTGGTTACCGGCCTCATGAAACGATTTTCGAGGCGAACAACCGACGAGGCGGCAAAGTGGCTGATAACGAGGCCGTTGACACCATTCGCCGACTCCGCACTAGTGTCGAGAACAAGAGAAGGCGCGCAGATGCCAAGGCAGAGGCCGAGTTGGCAGCACTTGGAATGCCCACTCCCGGCGAGGATGGTGAAGTGGAGGACGAGGATATCCCAGAGCAAGCCGGCGAGAACATGTCAGAGGCATCCGATGATGAACTCGAGGTCACTTTCTCTGCCTACAACTCCAAGTCCAAGCAAGGAGAGAAGAAGGACGCAGCGGCAGCATTCCAGAACCCCGACTATTTCATGGGCTACACACCTCAACACAACGACATGGCCGAAGACAAGGCCTACGGTGTGCACTCGGGTACCAACTCGAACTTTGCCAGCGACTCCCGCAACGCGACCATGGACCTCAACGGCGACGAAGGCAAACGTGGCTTCGGCGAAGCTCGTTCCATCATGCGTTGGGACAAGCGACACAAGAAGTACGTTGCGCGTCAGAACGACGAGGACGGTTCCAAGGGTAGCCGACTTGTGCGCGGTGAGAGTGGTGCCAAGATCGCTGCCAGTTTCCGCAGCGGTCGCTTCCAAGCCTGGAAGAAGGGCAAGCGCGTGGAGCGGATGCCTCGTGTTGGCGAGGCCGAGACGCCTACTATGAACAACATCAACTCGCGCATGAGCAGTGGGCGATTCCGACACAACCAAGACCGGGCGCCTAAGCGTGCCGATCCTCTGCGTGGCGACTACGACAAGATGAAGAAGAAGAACGATGCGGCTCGCGAACGCCAGCACGATAAGCTTGGTGGAGCGGCTTATGGCGGAAAGAGCGAACTTCGGTCTACGGAGGATATTCGCAAGGCTCGGAAGCAGGTGCAACAGCGTCGCGATAAGAATGCTCGGCCGTCGAAGAGACGGTAAGGGATTCTGGAAGATATGATGGGAGGGGGTAAAAAAACATTTACTGTAGAATAGATGTCTATATCGCAGAGATACCACAATTTGTGTTCGGAGATATTTTTACTCAGTCCGAATGTCAGTAAGAATCCGGGATTTAGGAACTGCCCAGCTCACCACATGGGAAGAAGTCGTGTAGCTTAGACTCGATCCTACGGAGTATACGAAGACAGATTGGAAATTTGGCCAACTCAACATTAAAACTTGGCCATGCAGGCCATCACGTTTAAACTGTAGATCAACCTGTGCTGTGATCAAGGAAGATGTGATATCAGCCCAATCACACCCTAGCGGACTCGGACCCCTAGTCACCGTTAGAGGGTGTTCATCCCAAATACCCTGGTCTGAATAATTCACAGGATTATCGAGCATGTATTTATTTGGGGATTCAAAGTAGAAAACTATCGACATTGTCATGTGTTTTAAACGTTGAGACTAGGAGAATTCCTTGTCCCGAATAATCTCCGTATTATCCGGAACTATTTAACGCTAAAACACAATGATTCGGCGATTTTTGATGAGAAATTTCCAATTAAAATAATTAATAGTTCTCTCCTCTTATTTCCTCCTATTTAGTCCTCATATTTACTCCACCTGACAAATTAATATGAAGGTCTGGACTTTGGGTCGGCGGCTAAAAGAACACTATACCGGGAGAGGTAGGAGTTATACGAAGTAGACGGATTAAACTTATTAACACATCTAGTACTCCGTACTCCGTACAAATAGTGCAAATAATAATTGAACCCGATTATGATTGGTAGATGAACAGATTCAGAAAACAACCAACCGTATAATTGTACAGACTATTTAATCCTGCATGAACGGGGTGACAGACCCCTTGCTGCTCCGCGTGCCGCATGTTCCACACCCCTTTTCCCTAGTCTTTGATCGGATCCTGCCGAGTGTATATGTAAAATATTGATATTGTTACGACCATTGTACAATTATGTACGGATATACGGAGTATGGAGTATTAGGGAATACATACGGAGCATGAAGTACATATGTACTGTCTCCAGGTATATTTTATGGTACAACGAGTACGGAGTACGCAGTCACCTAGTTATTATACTATGGATATCCACCATTAATACCAAATTCATGACGTGAGATGACTCTGGAATCCTGCAGTTCTACAACATACAACAAAAGCCAGGGATGGCGATCGTCAGCAATGCGCACGCGCAGAGGGAAAGAGCAATGTGATCGAATGTGATCGCCCCCGGCGGCAGAAGGCTGCAGCCACATCTCTGTTGGGTTCCCCGGAAAATAAAGTAGACACCAAAGGATTTCAAGAGAGGGGTATTCTTTTAAGATACCTTTTAAGATACCTTTGGAACCCTTGAGACCTTGAGACCTTTTAACCCTTTTAGACCTTTAGACCTTTAGACCCATCCTTTTTTTTTAAGACCCTTGCCCTCTTATCTTCAGATATTACTCACACTATTCCAGTGTAAAGTCCAAATCCAACAGTGACAGAGAAAAGAAAGAAGAAAAATAAAACCACCCCCCAACGGTGGGTATCACAGGAAAACTGATTATTGCGAGGCTTATCACACCCGCAAACTATTTCCAGAAAATACTCAAAAAGAAAAAGGAGGAAAAAAAAAAAAAAAAAGGAGAAAAAGGGGACAATTGCGGTGCCTGCAGTTGTCCGACTCACGAACCAAGGTCAAAAAAAGCCTGTGAGACCTTAACATCTCTGATCTGCGGTTGACTGTAACAGTAACCCCTAGACGGAGCATAAAAGGATCGACTCGGTCATACAATCATTTGCCCGGGTGGGTCGGAGAATAAGGGAATTTATGTTTACAAGGGTTTTAAGTGGGAGATCATGGAACTGCCGGTTTTGTGGAGGCGAAATAGTCAGATTCAGTTAATTCATCTATAAAATAGGAAATAGAAAGTAAGAATTAGGAAATAAGAAATAGGAAATATGGAAATTAAATGGAAATTGACAAATGATATAAAAGTCCCGAGTCAAAAGAACATTGACCTTATAACCAAAAAAGAAAAAAAGGTCCCGATTGTAACCCTAAAGAATTTAGGTTACTATCTTATATCTTATGTATATATATTTTATATATTTTATATATTATGTATATTATGTATATATTGATATATTGAATCTACAACATGAATAATGTAAAATACGGAGTACATGTACTCCCGTACTTGGAATGCACATCTATGAGACTATTGGCAATGGCTGCGGGCGCCGACGTCGATCCGTCAATCTTCCACCTTGCTTAGTCCTGATTGGTATACACACACCCCTCTCCGGGAAAAATGGAAAAAAAAAAAAGAAAAAGGGAAAAAGAAGTCTCCTTTTACTACGGAGTACGGAGTAGTGGAATCCAATCCCTTCCCTTTCTACCCGCTCTGAGGGGTGTGTCACTGACAGCCTGTTTAATCCAAGCCAAAGTCCTAGATAGGAGGGGGGGAGGGGGGGGGAGAAGGGGTTTTCTATATATTCTATATTTCTTTTTTAACAATGTTGTATTCTCAAAGGAAAGGAGTGTTAAAGGAGGGGCAACCGTTAAAAAGCATTATTCTCCAATGATCTACGGAGTACCATGGCGGAGATCAAGTCTATCATTTACTAGTGCTGCATTGACCACTGCTCTTGCCTACACTGTGATAGTCAAGTACATTGGGACTTCATTGGGGGACTATCGAACGCCTTAAGATCAAGTGGGGGTGTACTTTTTTTGTATTTTCCCTACTTTGGGCGACGATTCACCACTTTCGGCCATATACTTCACCGTTTTCTCCCCTTTTAACACCCTCGAACGTGGGACGTGTGATCGAGAGGTAAGGCGTGGGGGCTTTGACATTTTACCGCACCTTGATCCTAGCTCAATGATCGACCGCCATCCTGCAATAAGTTGCCCTGGGAAGACATGCGTATGAGTAACCCTGTGCCCTGCTGTCATCTAAAAAATCTCCCATGCAGTCTATTTTCTGACTCCTCCAATAGCGTATCTCTCCACTATATTGATTATAAGCTTGCGTCCTTGGACGGCATTGGAAGACCTCTTGGTGACTCTTTTTTTCTATTCTCCCTACACCGCGCTTTCTCTTTTTTGTTCCCTCTCTCTTAAGGCATATTCCCAGATCGATTACTGAGACATGCTGCCCCAAAGTACCGCCAAAGCCTGCGGTCCCTGCTTGTGAATTTGAACAAAGATCTACCTAAGAAACCCCAGAAAAATATAGGCAGAGGAAAAAAAGAAAAAAGGAAAAGGAAAAGCAAAAAAGAAACCAAAATCGAAAAAGAAAAAAATCAAAGACAAAAGAAGCATTTGCCCCGTGGGCCCTTTCCCTTTCCTGCCCGACACCCGATGCAATCACTCGTGCTTCACCCCCCGAGCCTCACAATCTCCCAGTTCGGACAACCCCGATTCAAGGGCCCAGAGCGGCTGCCGTTGAATCGATCTTGGTCCCCCAATGCTCGAGGGTGTAGTCCCCGGGCTTCTATACCCCATCAATCTATGTCTGGATCCCCTCCATCAAAACCCTCGGAGCCATCCGCAGAGATCAAGCCTCGGGGACATCCCTCCTCTCCCATAGTCACGGCTGAGCGGTCTATTGTGCCTGCATTGGAACTGTCGCAAGGTCCGGTGAATGAGCCACTGCCACGGTTGGGATATAACGAACAGGGACCGGTATATGCAGGATCTCCACTACCAGGAGCACAAGGAGCACCGTCATGTCCACTCCCAACATTGGATCCAACACATACCACAGGTCGCTCACTGGCACAAAAATCAACCCGACGCACAAAGGCCCATGTGGCATCGGCTTGTGTCAATTGCAAGAAAAAGCACCTTGGATGCGACCCGGCTCGTCCATGTCGAAGATGTGTGCTTGCTGGAAAATCCGTAAGTGTTGAGAAATTTCCATGAACCGTGGAATCGCAACTAACGAGCGGGGAAAAAGTCAACATGCGTGGATGTCACGCATAAAAAGCGGGGACGACCCCCGTTGAAAGCAGAGGATTCATCTCTCAGGTCCTATACCACACATTTGGATAACCCGACTATCCCAGCGGAGGCCCACCCAACCATGCCCCCGCGGCGGACCACTATGCATAGAACCACGTCTTCGCGAGAACTACGGCCCATGACCGATCTACATGGATTGGGGGATGCAAGCTCGGGAGTAAGGACACCACATCGGTGGTCGGCTTCGGTATTTCCTCTAACTCGGCCTATGGACCCCTCCCCCACGGTCCCGGGGGGCATGATTCGACGCCCATTCTCTTCATCTGGACCGCCATCGCATTCAGTACCGACACATACACATGTACCTTCACAATACATGCCAATGGCAGGGTTCAACCCAGTCTTGAAGATTAACACCATGTCTGGCATGGAGCGGCGATTCCCAACCTACGGTATCCCAGCATTACCACCACCAACATCGCCTCCCCAACATCAGCCACCACCGATTGGTACACCATTTCTATCGTATAACGAGACACCTGGAAATTCCATCCGCCCATCAAATGATCCACGAGTATCGCTCTCACCTCGGGACCCATATAACATCGAATCACCAGTCCGGCTCCCTCCAATTCACCAGGCCACAGCCGGACCACCTCCACCTCCTCACCACGTCCATCGCCTAAGCGACCCGTACCCAATGAATTGGACTCTCCCAGGCCGAGAAGAAGCCCTTCACGACCCCCGCGCTTTACCTCTCCACAGATCTGCAGGCCCAGTCTTCAACTACTCCCTCCCCCACCAACGCTCCTCCTCCATAACAAGCGCAACCATGGATCCTGTACCCCGACACCTTGGGCCAGTGGAATTTCCATCCCCAATCCAGATGGCATCTGGCAACTCGCCTTCCATGACGAGGGTTGAGCCACCCAGCACCGAAGCTGAAGGTCACGACAAAAGACCGATCAAACGGCGCAAGATGGCATTGGATGACATGGTCAACGGGTGATTCTGCCACTGCTTTCAATCCAATCTACAACATGATATTGATATTGATACCGAGACTGATACCAATCGGAGGCTGGAGTTCCTCCTTGTATTGTATAATCATACTTGAATCCCCTGTAGCAGGGTCTACAGGGACTAATCATTGTGCCGTTTACGGGTCTTTACTGGTGCGAGCACTGAGGAAATGATTCGATGAACAGTTTTGGCTTCATTCTGTTTCGTCCCTTGGTCCTATTTCCCATTTCCCATGTCTCGATTTGTTTTGTTTTCCGAAATGCAGGACATGAAAAAGTATACATTCTCATTTCCTGGTGTTTTTTTTTCCCTTTTTTCCTATGTTTATGTGCCAGGATATCCCATCCGCATTGTTTTGCTTCAGTTGCATTTTATCATATCCCACCTCACGACAGCTTTCTGGGATTAGCTTGTCTCTCCTTTGCTGGACAAAATGGAAGGTGGGCTGGTTGAGGGTCTCTTTTGTCTACCATCTCCTTTGTCATCTTTTTGTTTCTTTTGTCACTCGCATCTCATTTGTCTATCTCCTTTGGCTGATTCCCCTTCTCGCGAGTACCCCCTACAGTTGATGCGCGATTTTTTGTCCCCAGGATATCATGGCACGGCGTTTCACGAACATGGGGGTGATCTTGCATTGGTTTTTGTTCTATTTTATTTTTATTCTTTTGCTCTTTGGCGTATATGAAATTTCATTGTCAGCTTGGTTTGGCTATTTCTCTCTCTGCTCTCTGCTCGCTTGTATTTCAAATTCTGTACATGTGTACATGTATGCGTACATAACTATGTATATACACATGTAGGGACCAAAGGCAACATGTAATCTACTCATACTCATCCATGGACCTGATGTAGATAAGATATAGTTCTCATATAACCTTGGAACCGCTTGCTTAGGCTTTTGGTTTTCAGCGAAGCATTTGATTTGCCAACCTCACCAATTGCCAACTTTGCCTTCGAACAGTTCTAGGTTGTGTCTGAAGTTAAACCCAGCTTCGACACTTGAGAAAAAAATAACCAGATAATTGATCTTAATATCATATTATCATAATGGTAAATTAAAAATATAAAAAAATGCACTAAGAGGGAATCGAACCCCCGGCACAACATAACTTAGTAATCAGGTGATTACTTGGAAGTGTTATATGTTACCACTACACCATTAGTGCTTGTTATGATTATCCATCATTTCTTTGGTCTATAGCCCAAAACCACGATATCTGCGCAGTAACCATTAGCACACCCCTCTAGTATTTATGTCTAATATTTATCGACGGTCTAAAGGAAGTTGCTGTCGTACATCAGGAAAAGTGACGGCAAAGCATCAATCGCAGTGGAATCCCCTCATATTAGTTGTTAATAGCGAGGTGTAGTCGGAAACCTTGGAACAATTTATCTAGGTGTTATTCTTACTGTGAGCGAAAAATATATATTGTTGATATTTACCTCGATATTTAAACTCCCATGAAAACAGCATATCAAATATAAATAAGAAAAAACCCCCAAATGTACGACAAAGGTGCAAATAATATATAAAAGTGTCGCATAGCCCTCTAGAGGTATCGATGAAGCGTATATTGGGAAGTTTACGGCAAACTCTTGTCTGATCTAAAGCCTGACTTTCTTGGAATTATGGAATGGTATATGTCTGAAATCCGAGAGTTAGATGTATTTAATGGTTTGTGCTCTTTGGTCCAGAAATCCCTGTCGACTGTAGGTCCAATGGTGAACGTTTTTGAAACTTGATTTTTCAATTGGGGGGGAGCATCGCTAATAATTTGAGCAGGGACAGCCCCATCCACTGTGTTACTCGCAAAATACATGCTTCCATAACTGATGGTCGAATTAGTACCCGCCCAAATAGGCAAATCAAACAAGCACATACTGTGAAAATGACATTGACAGCATTTTGGTCTCAATAGATACGATATCCCTCATAATATTCAGTTCTAAGTCCGGAGTCATTTTACCCCACACTGTCCCAAGTTGGGATCCTGTCGCCTCCTCCATAATGATGTATTCTGAGCCCACTGGGTTTTGGGCAGTAGCACTCCACCCAAATACTTGGGGCACAGCAATTTTCATAACGGTCCGGGCCTAGTATACTTATGAGTTTTGTGTGCGCGATGTCAAAGATGTTTACACGACTCACGAATTCCATTGTAGCAACTTCTGAGGCAGTCGTATAAAACGAAGGCCCCGCATTTGGATTTGGTATGCGTGCCAGGTCAGTTTTTCCATCATCCATGAGAAGACGAAATACCTTATTAAACCCCCCTTCGACCAGTTTTGCTATTGAAACACAGCCATCCGCCTCAATGGCTTTGGCCGCTAGGTTTTGAAGCTCTGTAATATTAAAGGCCTTATACCTGTCACAGAGTTGTTCTTCTTCATCCCAGAGCCATCGTCCACTGGTATAACGGAAGAGGTTTTCATGTTCGCGGCGCGTTGCTGTATTTGTCGTGTAGAAGGTATTCATCGTGCGGATGGAGCAGCCTGATGGTTGGAAGATGACATGCGTTGGGGGGAAGGCTATCGGTCCCCTGCAAAAATTAAACGGTCGGATACTAGAATGAAACCTACTTCGCTTTTTAAGGCTCATCGCTGCACTTCCGCTGTAAGTTAATGATGATGGGTGGGGATAAAGCTCCAACGCACAGCCCAGCCTCTAACCCCTAAGTTGTAAACTATGATCATCTAATCGTGCGAAGCCCGCAAACCAAAAAAGTCTAGCATAAAGACCTAAGGAGTAGATCGATATAGGAATTAGAAAGAACAAGTATTTGAAGAGCCAGCCAAAAAAAAGAAAATCGACAGTTGCAGGGTTCGAACCTGCGCCCACGAATGGACTAGATAACTCGAAGCTTGATTCACTGTTATATGATTAGTAATGACTCTGGAACACTTTCTGATGGGTGTACTCACAGTCTAGCGCGTTAGACCACTCCGCCAAACTGCCTGTGAGGAAGGTCACATGCACACGCCGTCAAGTGCAAACGGAGAGCAAACGGAAGTATGCAAATAGGGCAGATGGGGTGATTATCCTCCTCTATCCTCTTATTGAGACAGATACCTAGGAGACTTAGCGCCTTATTTTTCAGCCCTTGAATAGACATATTCAGCCAGCCTTAGTTTTTCTGTGACTACCTAAGGCTTGCCCAACTGATATTGAGCAGAACCTAGCTTCTACAACCACTCAATGCATCTCACATTCCACCATGCACTTCGACATAGTCCTCTCTTGACAATTTTTGATTTATTTAAAAAGTCTGTAAAATATTGGAATACCCGTTCTATATGAGACCATGATAGGGGTGGGTCGGATGATGTCAAATAGGCGCGAGCCTGCTCCCGATCTGGATCTGTCACTCGAGTTCGTTGTATATTACCTAGGTATGATATCTGAGTTACGAAGCGGGAGTCTTCACCTACATGTAGGCAGTATATAGCAGAGTTGATCTAAAACGCCTTGCAAACATATCCGATAGCGAAAAGGAGCCCCCTAAACCAAATGGCTCGACTCTTGTTCGAACGCTACCTTGAGCCCGCATGACTATCCCTTTCATATTATTCCCCATCACTATTTTACTGTGGTTCTCGATAGCACGGAATTTTTCCTGGGACTAGACGTGTCGTTATTTATTCTTTGGATGGATTCTCTGCAGGATCGTTCATCAGCAGGAATTGGCCCAAACGTCATGGACATTTGGCGCCGTGCAGGGATGCCTGAGGGTTTAAGAAGGCCTGTAATGATTACGGTAGAGGAAGGCATCGGAAGTCCCCAGGTAAATTTGACAGATTTATTTAGTATAACCAAATCCTGGCTTTTTAGCATCTTTCTTTTTCTTAGGATAGTGTTCAGAACATACGGGCATTCGGGTATTCGAAAGTACACGCGGCGCTTCTATTCGGACATTTGAACATCTCGATATACCAGTCTCCCCTTCATCTGACGAAAGGTGCTGTGAGACATGACCTTGCTTTCCTTTTCCACGGTGCCATCAAGCGCCCTCGACTGCCCAGAAGTAGTGAACAGAATCCGGAATGGCCAATCGGCATTCCTGGCATGTGCAAAGAGCAAGTCCACAAATTCCTGGCACATGTCCCGTGCGCCTCCTTCGAGAAGGTTGATCTCAGAGACAATGCAGTATCGCAGGGTAGGTGTATTTTCCAGCAGGTATCTAAGCAGCGTTAAACCCGTTGTCCAGCGCTCCCCTGGCTGCGTAAGTTGATCGAGCATCTCCGGCTGTAGGTAAACTTTGTCATCGAGCGGTTGGAATTGCAGCAGCTGGCAGATCAAGCTGTAAACGATCCCCATGACACCAGCTTTGTCTTCAACATTATGGAACTCAGGGATAGTCCCGTATCGGGGTCTTTGGCAGATGTAGGATACAAATTGAGCTCGAGCTCGGATGGCCGTCCAAATAACCCCGAGAGCGGCGAGTTGGGCGCTGGTTTGTGGGCCTGTTTCAAAGGGGCTGATGATCCAGAGTTTGAGAGCATTGCCTGATGTAGCTTGTGCCCAGTTTCCGAGGGGTTGGATAATGGAAGGCTCGGCGACAAGTCGTCCGGTTTGGAGGGCGAGTCTGATTCCATCACTGCCTCCCATTTGATCAATATGTGGCTGAAGATGTTGGCAGACCAATTTAGCCTTGGACCTACTGAGGCCTCGAGGAACATCGGCAATTTCTGCGATTTCACTTTCGTTTATCGGTGTTGCCCCTCTTGCCATTATTCTTCCGGTATCGTTTTGACCTTGCAGCTGCATACGCTCAAAGCGTTCTTCCCATAGACCCACTAGGAATATTCCAAGACTGTTAGCGAGGTATTGAGATGGGTTTCAAGTGTACCAAGGGAGACGTTACGTACTGCGTTCAGTCATCTGCAGCATCAGGGTTGTCATTGTTCCCCCAGCATCATTTTTCTCGTTTCGAATTTCATTCACCCATGCAGCGAGCCTCTTTTCAAAAGAGCTAAATGAATGATCAAGCCTATTTAGCTGCCATGCATTCTCAACCATGGCCTGATCACGGATCAGTCGAATGGACCGCTTGATCATTTCTGTTGTGTCCTCGTAGCCCGTTGTAAAGTTTGAGTTGAACGAATCGAGCCATTTTGAAGGCTTTGGTTTCATATACCAGGTGGCTACCTTAATAAAGAAATGGAAGTATTGCGTATAGATATCGGACAGTCGTTCTTGCATGGCCGGGTTGTCATAGAGGTCGAGCCACTGTGTACAAACAGCGATGCTCTCCGACAGCTCCACTACATATCCCGACAGCTTTTCCGCAATAGTCGAGTAATTAACCGAAGCCTGTTAAGTCACAAATGAGACCAAAACCTTTTATGAACCTGAGAGTCTCACCTGGATGACCATCGTGATAGCACCGCACAGAGCAGACGTGTAGGAGGTTTGACTTGGGAAACACTGGAAGATTTGCTTATGTGCGTCAAACCTTTGGCATATCTTCACGAAGTTGGTCGCTGCCTAAAAGATATCCTTCATTAAGCTGTTGATGCAAATATTTATAATCCGCCCATCGCCACCGCCGTATTTACCTTGCTGTGTGATTCCGTCCATTGAGCCTCCACCTCGTTGATGATAGAAGTGACTTGATTAACTGTGAGTTCTCCCCGCTGGCGGATGTGACTAGCCAGTTTCTGTTCGGTCGCGTTTCGATGCAAGAGTCGCGATATTCCTGATTTACTCTTTTCTGCTTCTAACTTCTCATCCAAAGACTTGAAGAATTCATCACATTTGGATTGAAGCGTTTGACGGGCTAGTTCGAGCCCTTTAAAAGAACTGCGAGGGTCAGCCTATCTAGCTTTATTGATTTCTCGATATTCCTTTATTCTCTTCGGCATACCTCTCTATTGGCGCTTGACCATAATAAATACGATCCATACGCAGTTTTTCTTGCGCATTAACCTCTGTGTCCAAGTCCTCTTGGTACGACTTGACCTGAGAAGCTAGATCTGAATCAGCCTCGAGTTCAGCAGTGAAACGACGCACTAAGTCAGGCCGTGAGAACTCTTGTGTTATATTCATGATGTTTTGCTGTGCAGCAAAGAAGCAACAACCAAAAAAAAACAGTGCCGGTTTATACACCTGCAACCGGCCTGAGATTCGGACGGGAAAGCTGCAGCCACGGGCTGACCCCAATTAATGCATTAGTCGATGTATATATAAATAAGTACGCCATAGCTGAAGTGTCATTCGACCCACTTTGCCTAGTATGGCTTCTGATTCGACATTAAAAACACCACACCCCGCTTTAGCCGAGTCCGTGATCGCATACCGCTGCATTCGCATTGTTAAACAATGTTCAAAGTCAACATGGACTCATTCTAGTTGTTGCCATGATGCTAAACTTTTCGGGACTGGCCGCTTTCACGTATCGACATCGGCATGAAATACATACTTATGTGTAGGAAGTCTCTTTATGAACAACTCATTGGGGAGATGCACTAGACTTGTGGGGGTGGTTGGGCTTACGTGCATTATCTGCAATAAGCAGAACGGAACCAATCAAGTGGATTTTTCCTAATGTGGACGTATTGAATATGCCTTGCAACATGGGGAATTTACATCAGAAGCTTTCAGCCCCCAAATTGCGTTTTGTGTCGTTACCTCTATAATAGCCGGATACGAGCCGTGCCTGGAGAGTGAAGCATGGAATTGAAATTCAAAAAATTGCAGCTAAAATTCCCAGAGCCTCTGTGATTTCTTTTTTCCTTTTGTTTTTTTCCTTTTGTTTTTTTCCTCTTTTCTCGATCTCATTCTTCGGCAATTGTTGGAGCAATGGAAATCCTCCCAGAACCAAACGCTCACCCTTCTGAGCTTAAGGTTCATGAGGTGCAGTATACAATGGCAGACAGTACAATTGCTAGTCTCACGACTAGTAAGTTCAAATCATGCAAAGGGCTACAGAGCTCTACCAGCTGACTAGACAACCAGCGAGCAAGAGCGTTATAAGTGCGGAAAATGCACAGGAAATTCTGGTCGAGGCAGAAACGCCTGAGACAACAGAGACTCCAAATTCCAAAGATACCACTGAGGTCAAGTCAGAGCTGTCTTTGGCTGATGGGAGTCGTACAGACGAGGCATGTTGTAGCAACACTGAGGTCGAGGAAAGCGTTTCCACAGCAATCCCGGATAATACAAAGGGCCAAGCGAGCATCGTTTTTGTTGATACTTTTGGCACACGATGGACCTTTCCATACGAAGAATCTAAAACATGGGACGTAAGTCATACGATGTCAATCTTCTATTTGTCTCTGCTGAACCTTTGCAGGGCACCAAGAAACTGGTCAAAGCAGTCTTTGCCACATATTCTACTGAATGGCTCGCGGATTACCTTGATGAAGACGATGATCTGGGTGAAACTTTTTCCATTACCAAAACCAAACCCGAACAGTCAAATGTTCTGCCCAACTACTGGGAAAGTTTGGTCTCACCCGGATGGGAATTCAAACTCGAATTCACATTCGATGTGCTCTCCTCGATTCGCAGGCAGAAAAGGCTTGCGGAGGAAGAAGCTGCGGAACAAGCCGATAAAGAGGCTAAAGAAACCGACGTGGTCGAAGAACTGAGTAAAGTGTCTTATGTCGCAACGTATCTGGCGCCGGATAGCGATGGTGATTATCAACGCCGTAATACTAAGCGACTCAACGACAAGACAATTTTTACGAAGGTTTCCGATATTCAGATTCCTAAATCAGTGATTGAGGAGCACAGGGAGGTCTACTGCAGCAACAAATATGCTACTGATCCTGAAGACGACATGTTCGATACAATTAGCAGTCCAGTACTCTACATTCACTCGCCAATCCTTCTTAATGCCCTCAATGCCATCATTGATTGCCAATCACGTCCAGACCGGATCCCTCGAGTCGAATATCGTGTGGAAGGAATCGAAAGTGATCTCGGACAGGGGCGGTTAGTGTACCCTTTCACTGATCTACATCATTATCGGGAGAGATTGCTCCAGTATCGAGAGGAAGTGGGCGAAGTCCACGACAGCGAGTATACCACAACATGTCAAGAGCATATTGACATTCTAGTTGAATATTTGAATGGTCTGACGACGATTGGCCTGGAAAACGCCGAGCTCCTGTGGAGTAATGACGTCCCAAAGACGACTTTCACCTCTCTCTGGCTCCTACTAAAGCCTGGAACGGACGTCTTTGTTCAGGAGCAAGGAAAGCTGAATGCATATGTGATAGAATCATTTTCGGGAGGAGTGCAATGGGGTTCCCCTAATGCTCGTTCGCGGCCATACATTGTGAATGTTTGGAATCTCAACTTTGACGGCCAAATTTTGAGTCGTTCCGTTAAAGAAGTCAGCATTTCTATTTTTGACGGTCAACGTGAAATTACCTCGCTGCCTCTATTTCCGATCAAGTTCCATGTGGATGAGGACCCACAGAATCCTCTGCGTCAACAATTGGTGGATCGAGGGAAAAGATTCGTTAAGATGGTCAAGACCCCTACGTTCCAGGAGTACAGCGGCCCAAGTAGACTGCAAGGCAACCGCACGGTGAGTCAAGCACACGATACATATACAACCATCATTTCATTTCTTGGAGATCTGCAAATCTCACACGCGCATAGTTTAAACAAACGCGAGTCGTCGTTGACCACACAAGTCAACCGTGGAGACTGAACGAAATTGCTGAAGAAAAGCACGCCCATTTGCCGATTGCAGAAGTCTACAATGTCGAGCTGGGCCAACGAACCAGGGAGCCAAAGTGTCTATGCAAGACATGCCAATCCAACAGTCTGCGCCAACACGGCATCCAACGTCGTATTTTCGACGACTACGATAATATCGACTTGAGTTCAGTTTCAACCCTGACTGATCATCAATACCTGCTCTGTTGGTCCCATGTATATGCATACGTGTTGAAAGACCGAGTCTGGGGTAGGGATCAATATGTTTCTATTGGTAGGAGCGCCGCTGATTACGGGAAATAGATGTATTGGAGGTATCTAACCTAACGGAACCGAAGATACATAAAGGTATCATTGACACGCTGGTCATGAAGCCCGAAAGCAATAAGCAGATGATCAAGGCCGTCTGTGAGATCTTTGGTGGAACGTACAAGCAGGCTTTCTCTTCGGACTTCATTCAGGGCAAAGGAGAAGGACAGATCTTGCTACTCCATGGTCCCCCAGGAACAGGAAAGACTCTGACAGCCGGTATTAAAAAAACCCCCACGCAGAGGCAGAATCTCGGAGTGACGCGTTACTAACCATCGTTGATACCAGAGTCTGTTGCGGAGTATACAGGACGACCTCTTCTTAACATTACTGCTGCAGATTTGGGCCACGAACCAATCCCACTCGAACAAAACCTGCTTCGCTTCTTCAGAAATGCAAGACATTGGAATGCAATTGTTCTTCTCGATGAAGCGGATGTTTATCTCGAAACTCGGTCTGCCCAGGATCTTCGACGAAATAGTATTGTTTCTAGTAAGTTTACGTGGTGCACTGGTACATATAGCGGCTAATCAACATTTACCTGCAACAGTTTTTCTGCGAGCCCTAGACTACTTTCAGGGTATTCTTTTCTTAACAACTAATCGCGTGGGAAGTTTCGATGAAGCAATCATGTCACGAATTCACGTACAGATCGGATATGACCCCCTCGATGAGGACTCAAGAAGACAGATCTGGGACGGTTACTTCAAAAAGCTCTCCAAAAATCATAACAATGATGGCCAGGAGATCCGTTGTTCATACGATGCCAAAGAATTCGTTCGGAAGTCGGACGATCTCCGGGCCCTTAGATGGAACGGTCGCGAGATTCGAAACGGTAAGTAGCACGCAACAATCCCACCATTTCGACTTGATTCTCACACTATCCAAGCATTCCAAACTGCCGTGGCTCTTGCATGCTTTCAGGCAAAGCAGGAGGGAAATCCTATTCCTGAACTGACAGATGACCATCTTCGCCAAGTCGTGAACATGTCTCATAATTTCAAGAGTTATGTGAAAGCGGTTCGTGGAAAAGAAGAGGATTATGCGTATGCAGCAGGAGTCAGAAATGATACCACGAGGTCTTCTGGGAGGAGTGATGAGCGATTGAAAAACGTGGATATCCCTAACTTCTAATCAACCGGCATTTCCTTTGAGCCGATGCTACCTTGAAATCTAGTGAGAATGGAGCACTTTCTATAACTTGGAATATGCTTGTGAATAGAAACTCCTCAACCCTTATTGTCTGTTCCTGAAAGTTAAATTCTCGACCAAGATAACCTGCTCAACTCCCTGAGGCTTATATGCAGCAGCTTTTTTAATTATGTAACCGGGGCATTTAAATTCTCTATTATCACATCATAAATAAGCCAAGAAAGAGTAACAAAATAAAGAATGAAAAAAAAACCAAAAAAAAAGAAATGGCGCCACCCGGAATCGAACCGGGGCTAAGACAGAATTGGACACCACAATGTCTCGTCATACCACTAGACCATGGCACCTGTTGGATGAAATTTGGTGAGGCTTTGACAATAAGATAATGTAATTTGTTTGACTGTTATGGTCAAACTATATCCAGAGAATTCTTACCACAGCTCTGGTTTGAAGCAAGACTGCGACGAAAATAGAAATAAATAGTGGATCTGGAAGTTCATGATATCTTAGATCTCCATATATATATATTATGGAACTACCTCCATCTCTCTCTATACAAGACAACCACAAGTTAATCTAGTTCCCACACTCTTATCTTCAAGAGAGCGGAAAATCTATATACGAAAGTTCACTCGCCAATGCAATAGTAATATATAAAACCCTTGTGCTTTTAAGCCTTAGAATATCCAAATGCATATTTACAGCCTGTCTTTGAATAGAAAAGCGACCGAATAGCTCATGCTGGCACGCGTGGACCGACACTTCTCCAGAACTCACAGCGCTTACCACGGCCACCTTCCCACTTCAATGCATCTGCTAGACTGAACTCATTTGTAACACCGGGTCCTTCTTGAAGCCAGTAAGAGAGGTGATCAGTAACTTTGTCGTACACCATTGTTCCACCCGTAGTGTTCAGATTCATTAAGAGAGGGGAGCTGCCATTCCACCTGGGCCAAGAGATTTCCCCGTTCGCACCCTCAGGTACGGTCGAATTGTCGGCGCCACCCCTTGCTTCAATTATGGAGATGACTGGAGTGTCACTGATGATGAAATTGCCCCAAATCTTCTGGAATGCACGAATCAAGCCGTGACTGGGCGTAATCGCCCCAATAGAGAAGTATGCGGTCAAATCTGCCCCGTGGTACGCGGGGGTGACAGAGTACTGATATTTCCAACTCTCCTTAGCATGGCCTCCAGTGAAGGCATCCGCAAGCCAGTAAGAGGGGCAGTCAAAGACTGACTCAGCATATATGTCAAAAACTGTCTGCTGAAGACCAGTTGCCATTTCTGATTGATTCAGAGCAGTTGGACCACGATCACCTAGTGTATCATATCGGGTAGCATTATCTTGGGGAGAGCTGGTCTGGACCCCGTAGATATTCATCAGGCGGGAATAATCACCGCGGGAGAATAGAGGGAAAGTAGAGCGGATATAACTCAGGAACGCGGCAGTGGTGTTCACAAATGGTGGACTAAGTGGAACACCTTCATTGGCATTGTTCTGGAAGAGTTAGTAACTATAGAGGAACACTACATGTTGGTACGAGCATTTGGCACACTGAACTTACCCCAGATAAAACGCGCTTGCCGCTCACTTTCCTCTTGAGTAATTGCTTGGACGGCAGTTCCCGAATGAAATCGCCATCGACCACAGGTTGGAACGCCCAAGTACCCCATGCCCCTGAGATGGAGACGTTTGCACTGGCATATTGCAAAGTATCGGTGTCAGCATTGACAAGGCAGTCAAATACGGCTGCCTCGGATATATTACCCCAATTGTAACACCCCGCTCGTGCCACAAAATCTTGATAATAACTTGTCGGCACTTCACCATCGTACTGATGTAAGGCCGCAATATACGGGCTGGCAGCAATAATCTATGCAAGTTAGCTACACTGTCTCGGATTTCATGGCGCTATAACTTTACGTTATTGAACAAGTGGTCCTCACGACCACCATAAGCCGTTGATTGCAGTACCGCTGAGCCTGCTCCAGAAGACTCGCCGGCGATCGTGACGTGGGAGGCATTACCGCCAAATTTCCCGATATGCTCCTGGACCCATTCGAGAGCGAAACGCATGTCAAGCAGACCTGCATTGGGCTTCCCGTTCTTGTGTACCCCTTCTGACGACAAGAAGCCAAAGGCTCCCAGTCTATACTGAATCATAACTGCAATGAACCCGTTATCGTTCGTGTTGATCCACTCACTGGGGTCGTATTCGGCCCCAAAAAGCCCATATCCACCACCATCTATGAGAGCTTAGAACATGTTTCTTTTCGGTCGAACCTCTTTCATAGTCGATTTTTGCATTGACTTACGGATCCAAACGAGAACAGGAAGATCTTTGGCCCCGGGCGGAGCATACAAATTCAAGAACAAGCAGTCTTCATTGCCTAGGGCTGAGTTGAAGCCATATATTTCTGGAAGCTTCGCAGCACCGGACTGTGGGCAAAGTGGAGGCTGTTCAGTTGCAGATTGAATAGAAGTCCTGTTCACTGGAGGGGGCTGTGGCGCTTGCCATCGCAGCTTTCCAACGGGAGCGGCCGCATACCGGATCCTATGTATTGGCTAATAAGTACAAAAGAAAATGCTTCGTCAAGCTTAATGCGGCTTTTCCCCACCCTTTGAAGATATTGAGATCATAGGTGTTGTTATAGTACCCCTGGTAGGTAGCATAGCCCAAATCAACCCCTGGGCTGGATCCTTGGACAGAAATAGCCAGACTAGCTGGGGCGGCGATGAGAGCCAGAAGAACAAGGCTGCTTAATCCAGCTGCGAAACCCATGTTAACCACGGAGTACTCTCCACAGCCTTTGAAATCGGAGGATTGAAGACGGCGAAAGGAATTGGTCTATTTGAGATAGTGGGGAACAATACTGGTCAGCCCCTTACATACATGTAGGCAGAGTCTAGAGCTAACGTAACCCGCAAGCGAGCGGGCCATGCAACATCAAGCTTTGAAGCGGGCCACCCCGAAATATCTCTTGATCCACTATTTAAAGGGGTATGGATATGAATATGTGTATACGGAGTATTATAATATGTATTCTGAATGATTGGTGTTGTGTGGAACCTTGCATACCCTAGGCTATAAAATCTTGGTTGTTTAAGCGATGGCAGATTGTTTTGATTAATCCATCAGCACCTTTCATGCACAGTATCCACAATCAATATATGAGGTCGGAATCTTTTGGGCACATTTCCCCCTTGATTCCTCTCATGGACTCACCCTTTGGATGGTAATACGACCCGCATCTAAACATCCTATCAACGCATTTATAGCACGGTCATCTTTCGCCCAGTCATAATTGGTATCACAGTGTTTATCGTTTATTGGCTCGCAGCTATATACATGAAATATCTCTGTTCTATATTTATCATCAAGCAAGCTGGGAGATCGGAACCTTTGACCACCAAAATTCTGTCTCCTCTCTTGCCCAATCATCCGCAACACATTTTGCAGGAGGAGCAATATCGCCTCCGATCAATTCGTCATTTCCCTGTCCAAAGATCATAACTTTTGTATCCGTCGGCTGGAAGGGCTTCCACTCTGGTCTTTGTCCATATCGACCAGGCACAGCATTAGGATCACCTGTTGTAATGTAACTAGTCAAGTAGGCATGGAGTGTGCCAGACAACTCTTTCTGCGATTCTGAAATCCCCGTAATGGCACTGTTATAGGTCTCGTAGTACATATTATCGGCGTGATTTGCTCGACCGACGACCGTTCGAGGTAGCGCCCAGTGATAAAGATATACTGGAGCACCTTCGGATGATGCGAATTGTGCTGTTTGGCGGACTGGTGCTACATACGCGTAGTGTCCATAGGCAGCTTCAATACGCTTATATTGAGGCCCGAGTCCCTCGCCCTCTCTGGTCTCAACATAGGGTGATGTGGAACCAACGGCAGGGTCAGGATAGAGTTTTTCAATTGTGTCGAGGTCGGACGACGAGAGCTCGGGTAGAAGATTGTGCCAGAACTCGCGGAACTGGGAGGCATCTGACATTTTCTTGTCGACATACATTGTTCCCTCGTTGCTGTTAAACCCGGTCATGATGGGTACTTTATTCCAGGCTTTTGACTCCCATGCCTCGAGTGGCTTGCGAGAGATAATGTTTCCATCAATCACAGGCTGGAATGCCCACCGAAGGGAAGGGTTGTACTTGTCAAAAACAGCCGTTTGGGCATTTGTGACAGTCAAGCTGGGGAGCGAACGTAGGAATGGGAAAATTTCGGCTTCAGCTAGATCGGCTGGGCACCCGACTTCTTGGAGGAAGTCTGCAAATTGATCCTCGTGAACCTTGGCGTTATATGGGCGAACAGCGCGAGAGGTTGGTGCTCCCGACTCGATAATGACACGATGGAACAATGGCGATGTGTGCTCGTCGTAATTGAGGAGGTGGTGACCAATCTATATTTTGGTTAGAACGAAATATTATATTTGAAAAAGAAAACCACAAACTGGAAGACTTACCGAATGCGCCCCCGCAGAAAGACCAAACAAAGTGACGTTGTTGGGATCACCGCCAAAATTGGCGATGTTCTCCTGGACCCACTGCAACAAATGCACCTGATCACGCAATCCGAGATTGAGCAACCCCTCCTTCTGCGACAGAGTTGAAGGCAGGAACCCAAGAGCCCCAATGCGATAACCGAAGCTCACGGCAATGAAGGGGTGTTCTGACCACGCTACCATGGACGCAGTATTGTGCATAGTTGCCGACCCCCGATTGAAAGCACCACCGTGAATATAAACTGCGACAGGGAGCTTGCCCGTATCATTGCTGCCAGCCGGACGAAAAATGTTCGCTGTCAAGCAGTCTTCACTCTGCACAAGCTTCGGTCCCCCAGAGAGAAGTGCTTTTCCAGGAGCCGCGGGGCCATACTTGGACGCATCAATGGTATCTGATGAGCTTGAAACTTTGACTGCTGGTCTGAAACGCCGATCTCCTACAGGAGGAAGGGCATACGGGACTCCCAGGAAGGCGTCGACGGTTTGGGGAAAAGAGTCTTTGAGTTGGGTCCCCACCAGGTGGCCTTGAACCAGGGTGACGGAAGGAGGCTTGGTATCAGCAGTCATGGTGTATCAATGTATGACGGTTCAGTGGTAAATCAAGGGAAATCAAATCAAGAGTTGGGGGTCGGGAGTAAGATATAGCACCGTTGGGGTCGCTATCTTTCCGGCGTTCAAAAGTAGCGCCGAAGTTATAGCGTGCGGGGGGGAACTATCTTGGTGGAGTCGGAAGTAAAGATAAGTATAACCGTGGGCATCGCTATCTCTCCACTCAAAAGTGACAACGTCGGGAAGCTATACCGTGCGGGGACGGCAGCTATCTGGGTGGAGAAACCCTAAAGATAACGGGAAAATGGCCTAAAAGGCTTTGAGGGGTATCTGGCTCCATATATGGTGATCATTTCCATCCTTTTGTTTACTATTTACTATTACTCATTGGATTGCGAACATGGAGATCGACAAGAAAACACCCGTCGACGATACCATCAACGAGAAAGATGTGCAGATTGGCACTATAACGGAGCTCGATGAAGGAGAGGTCTTCCTCCGTCAACATGGATTCAATCAAGAGGCCATCCAAGCACTTTTGGATGACGAGCCACGCAACAAAGCATTGGTTCGGAAAGTAGACCTTGTTTTGTTGCCTTTACTTTCCGGGACATATATGCTTCAGTATATCGACAAATCAGCACTCGCCTACTCCGCGGTGTTCGACCTTCTTTCTTCCACACATATGTCAAGCAACCAATATAGCTGGCTGGCCAGTATCTTTTATTTCGCATATCTCGTCGCTGAATACCCATGGAATATCCTCGCACAGAAAACGAAGCTTGCCAAAGTCGTTTCTGGAAATGTTATTGCCTGGGGAGCGATGCTCATGATCACTGCCGCCTGCTCCTCCTTTACTGGAATGGCTATCTGCCGCTTTCTTCTGGGAGTCTTTGAAGCCCCCATTACCCCTTGCTTCATGCTGATGATCGGAATGTGGTACACACGTGCTCAGCAACCTTTCCGTGCCGGTGTCTTCTACAGCTGCAACGGATTGGGGGCTATGGTGGGTGGAATTCTCACGTATGGAATTGGGCAAATCGACACCATTGCCGTATGGAGAGCTATATATCTCATTTTGGGCGGCATTACCCTCGTTTGGGGAGTTGTAATGCTTCTCTTCCTCCCGGACGACGTGATTTCATCGAAGAGTTTTACCCTGGACGAAAAGGCTCTCCTCATTGGCCGTGCTCGACTAGGTCAGACCGGTATCATGAATCACAAAATCAAGTGGTATCAAATCCGCGAAGCTTTGATAGACCCCCAAGTGTGGATCTTGTTCTTTTTTACTCTTCTGAATGAAGTCGTAAATGGTGGCATCGCGAGCTTCGGCAAACTAATTATCAAGGGCTTGACTGATGACTCGGCCACTGCTGTCGCATTGGGTATTCCTTTTGGCGGATTCCAGATCTTCTATGTCCTAGGAGGGACATATCTCGCATCTCGAATCAGAAACTTCCGAACTGTCGTCATGTTCATTTACTTGCTGCCGACTATACTAGGCGCCAGCCTCCTATGGAAGTTGGACCATAAGACGTACAAGGTTGGGGTGTTGTTTGGCTATTACATCATTGGCGCCTATGTCTGCTCTTTGGTACTTGCTTTACAGATGCCGGCGACAAACCTGGGTGGTTATACAAAACGCACCACCAGTGTTGCCTTGGTGTTTTTGGCGTACTGTGCCGGCAATATCATTGGACCCCACGCATTTCTAGCAAAAGAAGCGCCCATATACCAGACTGGAGTCAAGCTCATCCTGGCATGTTCTTCTGCGCAAGCAGCTTTGGCTGTTTTGCTGCGTTTTGTGCTGGCTCGCAGAAACAAGCAACGAGATGCCGCAGCTGCTGCTGTAGGCCAGCTCGAGTCTTCTACTGACCAGAGCGCTGGGGCAGATCTAACCGATTTTGAGGTTAGTGACTATCATTTATTCCTTTTTGTGATCTCTTTACTAACCAGTTGACAGAACCCAAACTTTCGATACGTTCTTTGAAATACAGCTTTTAGATTCTTATTTCTAGATAAACGCTGTCATGCTGATACAATCATTTCCTCTCTAGACATCCCTAGCCTGTTTTGTAGGAATCATAGGGCAGTGGTAAAGCACTGCTTCCAAACGCTTGTAGATTAATTGGAGTAGGGTAGGTAGTGGAGCGAGGTGTGATAGTGTAGTGCGTGGTGAAGATGATGTGTACCTATTTGGCATGAAGTCGACCTGGATGCCTGATTCATGCCGGGCTCTAGACCGCTTTAAGGCCTCTCTTTACAGCTTTGTAAACCTTTGGGCAGAAAACAATTATTCACTTTCAACCTATGGCAAATCGAGATTTATACATTTTATATGTGTATGAAAAGCTGCACTTAACTGCCCTCAAACTTGAGATATATTCATTTTGCATGCATATAAAACCTTTCATTCTACAGAGGTTTTGTTAAACTGCCCAAACATGGAGAGGTATGTATCCCTGTAGAAAAGTCCACTTCACAAATTAAGCCTTTCTCCACCTTCTTTTGCTGTCTGTATGTGAAATTCAAGAAGGCGGAAAAATTATATATTAGGAAGGACATCTAAAAAGACACCAAAAAGACATCATAAAGCTATATAAATAGCCGACTATTCTTGTTTTATATAGTTTGAAAAGTTTCAACCCCATCAGGCCTTCTAGCACTATTCAGGCCAAAAGAAGCATTAGCGCTATGCACATTACGATATGTTTGACCTTTGATTCTGAGAGCTGGTCTTCTTGTTAGCTTTTACCTTACTGGTGATTCCACTCACCTACGAGTACTTCTTGCGCTTTTGTTATCCACCCCCATCATTTGATCAACCATTAGCCCATCATGACTACATCTATGCAATACTTTTCCAGCCTCGAAGGCACTAAGGTTACCCTTGAATCACCGCCAGAACTGCTTGAGATCTGGCAGATTGTGAAGAAACTTGGCGAGCGCACTAGTGCCTCGACCGAGCGAGACATCGCTGATGGTTTGGGCCCTGGATACGCAGCTGGAAAGTTTCTTTGTCTCTCTACCAGTTCTAAAGCCCAAGCAAAGGTCGCGTTCATGCGAATTTACAAGCAGATTCCTATCGCTGGAACTGAGTTCCAGAACGATACAATGCGAGCTGCTCAGGCTGTCGAGCCACGTGAACATGCAGAGCTTACCGCGCTCAAAGCCTTCAAGGAACAAGACTGTGATATCGTACCCAAGCTGCTTGGGTATTAGTTAGGAAAGCAAGGCGAAGACGACATTGCCCCCGGGGGCTATATCACTTATGTGGTGTGGGAAAAAGTCGCCGGAGACTCCCTTGATAGGCAAACGTTCTGGAGTTGCCCCTTCTCCATAAGACAGTAGCTTCGAGCAAAATTTCGCCAGGTTTACGAGTATTTTCTTTGGTCACCTTGATCGTGATACCGTCCCTAGAGCTAATAGGAATTAGAAAGCTTGTCCGGTTCGGATACCGGCCACAATTTCCGGGATCGTCTAAGATCATATACAATTGGGCCACCGGAAATATGTATGCCCTATGCTATAATTTATTATACGAAATGAGCTAATATTCTTCAGGCATATGTCCGGATTCCGCCGCACGGTTCGTATCGATACAAACAAGAAGTGGGATGATCGAATTTACGTCAATTATACCCTCGCCCTAGTATCTACAGAAATGGATGCATATTTTCCTGTCAAGAGCACTGATGTGTACCATGACGATAAGGGTTGGAGGTGGTGAGTGGAAAGGGTGTACCATAGCAAGCACCAGGGAGAACATTCGCTTCTCCGTTTGCCCATTTGATAATTTAGCCCAACAAAGATACTATCAATCGAAAAGGATGTGATTTAATTGGAGAATTGGCATATTTCGTAGTTTATACTATTTGCTTGGCCAAGTTTCAGCCGACTTACTTGTTTGGGCCTCTTTGCCTAATTGGTATAGTTACCCTTTAGGGACTAGTGGAATTCCTCAACTGTGTAGCTGAGTAATCGACTAATTTGGAAGCCCTGCCTATGTAGGTAAAGATTTAAATCTCTAAACTAATTATGGAATAAGGGAAAAATGACATGAAAGCTCTCTTTTATAATGGGAATGCCCCCAGACACGTTCTCATCTTCATTTCTAACGATTTTTGCGAGACTACCTCCAGCAGTACATGACGCCCACCTTGCCCTAATTAATACCACAACGGCCAAATATATCACTCTTATACGGAGCTGGACATCATTGTGAGAGATTCTCGCGCCAGGAGAGCTTGACGCGCTCCGCAATCCCTGCCATCATGACACCCCCGTATCTTCAGCGGCAACAGATTGCACCGAAAGCAGATGGCTCTACAGCCGACCTTGGAAACATACCGATCACACTAGACGAGCTCGAAATCGATGGGTACCCTGTATCAGGTTCTCGTGCCGAAGGTCAGTATACAGACGCCTTTGAACTTGTGAACCGAGACTAATCCACTCATCGTGACGCATAGGCCCATGTTTCGCCCAAGAGATCGTGATCGTCAGGTGGGATGGAGAGGATGACCCCGAAGATCCATACAATTGGCCCATCCGGAAGAAATGGCAGGTCACGGGAATTGGTTTGCTGGCGAGCTTTGTCTGCTCACTGAATGGGACCATCCTAACGGTGGCTCATACAGCCATCGGGGAAGAGTTTCACATTTCCGATGCGACATTCCCAAATTCCTACTGGTTAACAACATCCTGGGCCATCGGGGCGGCGGTGTGTCCACTGCTTTTGTTTCCTGTGATGGAGGACTTTGGCGTTCGACCGGTCCTTCTCACCACCTATTTTTTCTTTGTGTGTTTTCTGATTCCTGTAGGCCTGGCACAAAACTTTGCCACCCTGGTTGTGGTCCGGTTCTTTAGCGGAGGATGTGTGCCACTTATAAGCGACGCCGTTGCGGGTATCACATCGAATGTTTTTCACGGCGATCGAGCCCGGAGTGTCCCAATCTGTCTATACGTGACCATCTATCTGGCGGCGACAAGCTTGGGCCCAGTCGTTGGCGCTTCCATTCTGCAATTCCTACCATGGCGCTGGATTGGTTACATTGAACTGATTTGGACCGCTGCCCTATTTCCGATCCTGGTTGTTGGTCTGCCAGAGAGCCGTGGACCGGCGATCCTGCTCGCCAGGGCCAAACGACTATGCCGCGAGGGGAAGAATGCGTATACGACCGAAAAGAATGATCAGGTGACGTTGCCTCGCCTTATCTTGCAGAGCGTTCAACGGCCTCTGTACATGCTATGTACGGAAGGGGTTGTGTTCGTTGCGACGGTGTGGGCTGCCTTCAGCCTAGGAACGATCTATCTCTTTACGCAGTCGGTCGAGCAGGTATACGGGGAGCTTTATGGATGGGATCCCATCCAGTCCGGGTATATCCAAGTTGCGATTGTGGTCGGGGAAATCCTGGGCTGTGGATTTTGCATCTCAACCAATTCCTGGTACTATGCATCTGCTACCCGCAATACTGAGGTACCTGGCACGCCAATCCCCGAGGCTCGGCTGCATTCATCAATAATTGGTGGATTCTTTGGTGTCACGGGTGGCATGTTCGTGTATGGGTGGACATCGTACGCTTCTATGCACTGGATGGCACCCACCGTCGGCCTGGCGATGGTTGGGTTTGGGACGACAGCGGTCATCGTTAGCAATGCTAACTATCTCATCGATGCGTACAGCAAGTACGCTGCGAGCGCCCTTGGAGCGGTGGGTTTCGTCGAGAACATCTCTATCGCTTTTCTCCCTCTGGCCGCGATGGCCATGTACACGAATCTTGGGTTTCAGTGGTCCAGCTCGCTGCTTGCATTTGTGTCTTTGGCCCTGGTAGCGACTCCTTTCGTAGTCCTCAAATGGGGCAAGGAGATCAGATCCTACAGCCCATTCATGCAAGAGGCAATTGTAGAGCGGCGGCGAGGCAGTGCCACAGCCTCAAGTGTATAATAGCGGGGCCGTACTGGGGTCGCACCCAATGTCGCCCCTTCGGTTGTTGGGGTCCCCGGAATCAATAACCTCCCTAAATAATTGAGAGGGATTGTTTGAGAACTGCTGTCATGGAGCGAACAACGAAGTACAATTCAAGATGCACTATCGGACCAGTTTGTTCAATTTAAATTCTCATGCATTCATACCGTTTCAGTTTAATGCATAAATCGTCGACTTCCATGAACCCGATCAATTTCCAAAACATTCCAATGTTTTGTCTGGATATCTGTTAGAAAAACTTTATTTGAATCATCCAAAGCAAATCCGCATTTGCAACGGATAGCAAGATGTGGAGTTATGTCGTCGATCCACGATGTGCCCCCACCACACGTTCTCAAAGCCCTTCATCCCCTGCTCCGCCCATACTTCTTCAAGCAAGGGGATGGCACTTCCAAACATCTGATACCGCGTTCGGTCATTCCACACCGAGCAGTACTGCATGATATTCTGCCTTGTCGATGGATCGCGTTGCTCGCAGCCCGCGAAGAAGAGCGGCAGCAACGCCTGCCGGGAAATCATAGCCTCGTCGCGACATGCGACTACATGATCCACAATGACCCGGGCCCGACGTACAACGTGCATTGGAATTGGGCTTCCTAGCTCCCATTGAAACACTCGGTAGATATAGAGCAGCAGGCCGTGTCTCCATGCCTCTGAACAGTGCATACAATCTTGATCTTGCTGGATGTCCTCTTCGCTGCCGACTACAAACGCGGCAGGGGAGATGTGGTGCCAGGACTCGAGATCTTGCTCGATTTGGGAAATAGCCAAGGCGTCGAAGGTCACGTATCGCATGGAAGACGACTGGCGTTTTTCGGCACCCAGGCGCACCACTTGTATGACCAGCGTGACCAGACTGTGTGGACACCCGCAGAGTTCAAAGAAATTCCACTCTCGATCATCGGGGTTCGACAGGATGGCTTCGACGTATGCGTACGGGAACACGCATTCTTCCCGGGACAGGAGACTGGTGATGGCATCCCACCTAAATAGTTTAGCTGGACAGACAGGGAAGATTTTCGCAACAGGGGGGGGGGCGGGGGGAAGGGGTTTATATACCACAACAGCAATCCTATTTGAGCCTCTGCTCTAGCGGATGTGGTCCATGCTTCAATTCCCCCATATGCTTCAATGAGGGCATAAGCTCCCTTAAGGTGTGTACTCCAGTACCCATGCGTGGATTGTGTTTCCTACATTTAGTTTTCATTATCAGCTTGGATTAGGTTCGAGAAACATGGAGGTGCAAACTGACGTCAAAGGAGAATAGGATGATAATTGCATCGAGCATGAAGAAGCCATCTTCCAAATTACCGGACACGTTGAGGCTTTCGCGGAGGAGTTTTAATGCTGTGTGGCGATGGTTATGGGCTGATGGACTCTCAACATGATGACCCGCTAAAGCCATCACCGCATGGACCAGAAAAATAGGTTCTGAAACGATGGTTTTGTGGTATCGAAATGGATTCATCTGTAGGTCGGACGTTAATGGGATCTTGCAGAATTCATTGTTGTCTATGACTTGTTAGTGGGTATTGGCAGGAGCATCTGGGAGCAGAATGCGCGAACATCTCTCGAGGATAGGCTCAAACCGCTGAAAAAAGCTATTGTATAGTATGCTGGGTGGTAGAGAGGTAGTAGTGTTGGTCAGGCCTGAAACTTCCACTAAACTTGGCTCTAGAGCAGCGATTTGGTTCGACCATTCACAGAAGGCGCCAAGGTCGATGGTTTCTCCCTCAGCCAACTGTAGCTGTCCATTGCCTGTCGAATTGGATGGAATAGGATATGGGCCTTGATCTTTGCTGTTCCGTCGGTGCATTTGGGATTCGGTTGTCTTAGAATCTACCTCAGAGTCGGAAGAATCAGCGGCCCTCGTCGGCGATGCATCACCTGAGACCTCAAATGGCATCTCTACGGAGGAGCTAGCTTCCTCAGAAGGGTTGACTTGAGAATGAGTTTCGTATTAGTCCGCAACCCCAAATTGATATTGGTCTTCGGAAGCTAGACAAAGGACAGGTCAATACCATCAGGTTCTGAGTCTTTTTACCTCGCAATTAGCAATAGGTTCAGCAAGTGCTTCCGAGGGTTGATAAATGATGGTGGAAAGTGTACGGTCTTACGATCTCTCACAGGGTGCTCTGCAATGAACATAAATTTCTGAGGTCCATCTGCGTTTCCCAACCTTCTGTTGGTCCTGCGGGCTGCTGATCTCCTCACGGGCCTATTAGAGAGAGAATATCCTGGCTTCCAGGATAACTGCATTTTAGACATTCCGTAAATACTAAGGTATTTTCCGATCGGTCCCGATGGCATCGAGCACAGATACCTAGGTACCTTTGGAAGTGAAAAGGGGCATCCTATCAGGGGCGACGAGGGATTGAAGTCGCCTAAGTCACCTGTCGGGGGCGGTGACTAGCGGGTCCAGGGGGCACGTCAAGCTTAGTAAGATGTGCAGCCATCTGCCCAGGTGGTACGAATTAATATAGACACCCCCCTGTCTGTCTTAAATTGGAAGATGATAGTGTTTCAACCTAGCAATTGTCGCAACTTCGTATGGCGCTAGGGTCGAAGGTACATGGGCGGCTGTCGAGAAGAATTGATTGGTCGAAGATTCCCCAGAAAGCTTACCTAGATACGTTATATATCCAGACCAAGCATAATTTTCAAGTAATTCTGAATCATTTCAATTGAAGAGACTGACCGATTTTGACAAAGAATACTGACTTGTAATATCTATTATGAAATGGATGTGAGCGAGAGCGCTGTTTACTAGAATACGCGCAGCGAGAAAGTCCTGTCTATCCCTGTTTCTTAGCGGCGCCTCGGGATCTAATCCTGGATAATTCAATTACTATATTTAGTTTGTTTCACCAGTAGGCGCCTAGGTATCATGTCTGCAAATACGCACCATCAACTACAGCGGCTGGCCCCCAAAGCCTCCCCCTCACCTGAGCAGTCGAGCTGCAGTAGTCGCCTTCACAAAAGTACAACATCTTTTGGGAGCTGATAAAGGGAGCCTTTCAGAAAACTTTCTGCATTTCTAACCTAAAATCCCCATTACCTCTTGCAGGAAAATTACAAAGGAACAGCACTTGAAGGGAATACCATGAAATTTCCACCGCAACCGGCAACAGTCTACGAGCTGGACCAATACGGCAACCAGGTGCTTCACAGCAAGGCTTCTGCGACTAGGGACCGCATATCGAAGAGAAACCCGACACCATATTCCTTGAATGGAACTCAGCACAGGTCTAGAAAAGCTCAGGACTGGATTCAGGGCAAGTCCACGTGCAGCGGCTCGTTGAATGAGATGGTCAGGGCCTATGGTCAGAACCCGACGTCTCACATGACTATCTTCACTAGTAGCCAGGACACGGATTCGGAGCGTAACGAAGTTCCTGGATGTCGGTTCAGAAAGGTTTCTTTCCTTGGTACAGATCTAATTTCATTCTGACCGTACGCGTGACTATGAGCTAATGAGGATGCAGACGAGACGAAAGTAATTGGTTTCAGTGCAATGAATGGTAACCAACCGTGCATTCACTTGACCGCGTTTATTACGAAAAACGATGAATATCACATGGATCCGAAAATCTACGTGGAGCAACGTATTTACGAAGGCATGCACGATAAGATCGTTGTCCATGAACTTTCTTTTGGCGGCAGAATTCAAGTTGACAAGGAGTATGTGTTTCGGGCCTGCGGCGACGAGGATAGAATTTTGGGAAAGCGTGATTTGAGGCTCCGCATCGTATCGGTAAGTTAAGTTATCAAATATCTACTATCCAGAAATGACTGCTGAGTCCTATTCAGCTTGAGCAGGAAAGCTTTGATAACTACCTACGGGGTCACACGACTTACTACGGCTATGATATCAAAGACTACATATATGTGGACGATGAGAGCATTTCCAAGGAGTCCCCGCATACGGCGTGGCGAAACATGAGCCACGCACCTTACAAGATATCCTTGAATGCGAATGATTTGGAAATTCTTCGCAAGGCCAAGCAGGAGGACCGGGAAACGGTGGACGTATTATCGGGTGAGGATATCGAGCTTTTTCGACTGCATTTCGCTGGAGCGGGACATACTACCGAAGATAAGATGAGCGCTGGTGATCTTGATCTCCGTGTTATCTATAGACCTTAATGTCAACATGGTATTCATACATATGATGCTTATGCTCTCTGTCTTCAAAGCACTATAAAGCCTCGGATAGCTACAGACTGAAATCCGTATATTTAATAGTTGAACCCGGAAGTTAGGACCTATCTTACAAGCGACCTCCTGCCATTGTACCGAACAGCAAGCTCATTCTTCTGATACAGATTCAGAATTTGTCTCGTAGGTGAGCCGTACCTACCGGCGATTAAGTGGGAGCATACAAGAAAATTACAACTCACTACACAGCCATTCTACCACAGATTTCCGGCACTACGGTCTCTTCTCCAACATACTAGAGGAACATAGACCTGTGTAGGAGGAATGTGTGATATATAATAACAAGAGTAGTCGTCTGCATTTGCGGCCTTGTGATGTACTTTTAGCTGTTGTTTTTGGATGTATATGAAAGTGGAAAAAAAAGTATACTTTGTGTAGGAGACCTTTTTGTGTATAACTGGGAATTTTCCTGCTATGATCTCCTGTATATGTAGATACAATGGATTGAAGTTTAATATATGTAAATCATTCTTCTTCCATAGGTCATCATTGTTTTAGTCCAATGACCGCCAAGTTACGCGGACTCTCACTGTAGTCAAACACTGGCTGAACCCAGCAGTCTTTGACCGAGTCCTGTTCACGAAGGAATTGCCACCGATCCACAACAATGATAGCCTCAACAAGTTGAGCACTGAACGCCATTAAGCTCCAAACAACACTCATATGTTTCCTTGCGTGGAGGTATTGAGTCTCGTAGCAGTGAATCTCCTCATCAGTCAAGGTAGCAATATGCTCCTGCACCTGGGAACCATATATCGGGTCTCGACTCATTTTGATCGTCGCAGCACGAATATATGCAGTAAAGGACTTGAAGGCAGCTTTAGGCAATGCCCCGATGATAATAGAGTTGGTTCTAGCCTCTGGGTAAGTTCCGTCAGAGAAGGCCTCTTCCGGCATAGAGGGCCTAGGGAGAATATTTCGATCAACGAGGATGCGCTGGAGAAGAGCACGGAAGAAGTGACGGGTAAAGGAAACTTCACTGTCATTGACGCCCCAATTATATGGAGCTTGCACTGCGAGTGCACGAGCTGTGATGTTAAGCTTCATGCCGCTCGTTGCTCCGGGACTTCGGTAATTCTCGTAGTATTTGGACATTGGGAATCCATGCGGGTCGTATGATGTTCCAGTCTCTTTCAGCCGAGGGTGAAGAGATTGAAGAATAGGGAGGTCATGTGTAGTTGGGCCGAGGCGTTCCGTCAAGAGATTGTAGCAACAGCCGATCATAGCGACAGCCACAACCGAAGAATTTAGAAGCAGGGATCGTAGACCGTGGTGAACGAGGTTTCCGCAAGAGTGGAGGGAAACTACCATCAATCTAGGATCGCTTTCTTCTTTTCCTTTCTCATCAGAAACCTCAGCAGGGGGTGGATATATGATGTGGTCAATAATGGGCTCTAAGTGACCATCTTGAATTTCATGCTCAATATAGCTTAGAGTACCGCGGGTATGGATCTCCGGCTTCGGCAGCTTTTCTCGTAATGGGCTTTTGGTGGGAGATCTGAGTAGCTCGTCAGGTTGAAGACTAATCTCGCCCAGCATCTCAAAAAAAGGGACATCAGAGACCTGCGAAGCCTCTATCGTTGGTTGGGAGGTATCCGTCATTTCAGAAACAGTCACTTCCAGAGTTCCGTTGTGGCCATCGGACGAAGTTTTGTCCTTGTGAAAATATTGAGCGTTCGGGTTCTTTGCCAACTTGGCTCGAACATCCATGCCCTTAGCACCGCTGATGTACTGATGCTTGCGCTCAATTGCGATGATATGCTTGTAGTAAGGCGAACTGGCCAGTGTCCGTCCAAGGTAGTTCTGTCCTGACCCAAGATCCACAATATGAGTGACTGGCTCACCTCGGCGCTTACTGACAGTGTCTGATAGAGATGCGACATGTTGAGAAAAACATTCAACCTCATGTACTTTTTTTCGGTTCATATGCATAGCAACTTGCTTTGGTAAATCGATCCTCTTTGAAGATGAGATACACATTTCTCGTTGAAGTGTCAGTAGACGGACATTGGAAATGTATTCCAACAGGCTCTGGGGAGGGAATTCTCCTCCGTTCCAAGTACGGCTGCTTTGATCTACTGAAGGCTCGCCGGCGCCTCGTAGGTGATCAATGTCCTCTCGTAGGAGTAGACGAATAATATTTTGAATATCATGCTGTTCGAAGAAATATATCCAATCTTTTGGCAGGATTTCTGTATAGAGGTCGGGCTCCCGGGTCAAAAAGTCGACCATATGCACGCCACCGCACAAATTCATAAAGAGCACCGACGTAGTAGAGAAGCGGAGCAGGGCCTCAATGTAGGCATCGGGGTGCTCCCATGCCCCAGAGATGGGTAAGGGGCGATTGAAAGTCATGCGAAAGAGTGAGAGTCAATTTCCGCACCAAAATTTCTATGAGGATCCTCCATCGTGGGAAGTCGTTAGTTACGGAGCTCTTTTTCATCGCGAGCCCTGCTGAGTCATCTTTAGACTATTCTTAATTTATAGGCTTGGCGAGGCGAACAACCCGTCCAAGACGTTTTTGTCTTTAGGCGTACGTCAATTTGTTATACCTTCTAGGTAGTAGACTAGTTTATACTACATTTTCACAATTGATGCAGCTACGTGAGTGATATCAATCGAAGTGTATGCAAGGTTCAAGATCTTTAACTGAAATGACACAAACAATACAAACAACACAAACAACCCCGGGAGAATTTCAATAATCTGACTAAGCTCAATGTGCGTGCCCAGACTTCCATTATCTTGGTACTGCGGTATTTCCACTATTTCCACCACAGCAACAGGTACTAGAACTTCAGAAGTACATCCAACACCCGTGCTTTGAGCATTTCATAATTCAAATATGTTATGGAAAGTATGATGCTGAAGTTTCATTGAAGTTTTCACTGATGATAGTTTCTCAGCTGGTCGTTTGTACGGACATGACAGGGTCCTTGAGAGCTCATCTTAGCTTCTTCACCCGAAGGCTACTAGTCACTGACCCCACGTAGAATGGAACTATAACATTATGATAGCTGAGCCCGCGGCTAGTCTAAGCGGTATATTCATATAAAACTAAGACTAATTGGGCAACCGTCCTAAGTATCCGTAAATATTGAATCATGCTAGTGCTCTTAATAATTAAACTTCTGGACCTCTCTTATATTTCTGTTCGCTTAAATACACATTTTTGCTTCTGTCTCTAGGCTCCGACAACGAAATTCTGTTTCTCTCTGTCCTACCTTCATCATCAAAATGGAAGCTGACTTGACTACCATAATCCTATATATTAGTATATTTGCAGTGGTGATCGCTTCTCTGGAGCAGCGAATTGAGGTATGCTCTTTGTGACCCTGTTTCAGAATCAAGCTAATAGCGCTCAAGCTTTGGCTACTATGGAGGTGGATTCATCAGATGGAAAATAAGATGGAAAACAAGATTCCCCAGTTGAGACAGATTCTGTTTCCGAGAAATCAGGTTCAGGCCATGATTACAACCATTGTTCAAGTTTCATTTTTCAAACATGTCGTGACGTCCCTTAGTTGGCTGACTGAGCTAAGAACTCGGCTGATATAAAAAAAGGAGGTAATATTCACTGTGGGTGGGGTTGTGGGAGTACATGCGAAGTTGCTCATATGATACCAAATGATTTTGATTCAGCGAAAGACTTTACTTTTTACGCCTCCGAGTCCCCTGCTCCCAAGCAGACTAATTCTGGATATGTTTCGGGTAGCTGGAGTATGAGCACGAGCCACTAGCAAGGTATAAACCTCAGCTTATCTGTTAAGAGCAGCCGCCCAAGTTGGAGTTTTTCTAGACTCTAAGGCTGGCCAGAGTACTAGGAATAGTGTTTTTTATTATTTAGGCCATTTCATAATTCAAAGGAATGGGGCCATACTTCCTAGATCACACGGATTACTTTTTTAGATATTTTTTGGCTCGTTCTAACGCACAGCCTTAACCCTAGAAGATACTATTATTTGTCGTTGTCGGATATGATCAGAAAGAAAAATACACAGGCAGAGTGCATGACCTAGCCGGTTCAGTTTCATGACGACCGAATCACTAAGCTCCTATTTCGGTCAAATCAAGCGTCAAATATATTAAATACAACGTAAGGTTTGAAATAATGCTTCAATGCCTTTCGAACCAAGCTAATGCTTGATTCTCCGCCTCATCAGCCTGCTTGCTTGCATCATCTAGGACAAGATCAGCTCGCACACAGAACCCATGACCGGCCCCTTGATAAACCTTCACCTCTCCTGTTCTCGATTTAGCTTCATTCTCGAAAACTTGTTGGATCTGCTTTATCTGTGGAGGCTTCAAAGCCATATCCTTATCACCAAGGGCAAAGCTAATAGGAATGAGAATCTTCTCGATCTCGATGGGGATATCGAGGTAACTGGGATGACCGGTGAACCCAGCATTAAGAAGAGGTTTTCCGTTAGAAGCGGTATCGTCCCCGAAGCCCAGATTTACGATATGCTTTCCTCCCCAGCAGAACCCAGCTGCATAGATAGGAAGCTCGGAGCCCTCATTTTCTCGCACGGACTTGAAAAAGTCTCTCACAATTGGCCATGAGGCCGTGAAAGAATTGTGGTGTTTGAAGGGGATGATTTGAAACATCACACAGGCCACATAATACCTATTTCTTGATTTAGTGATGATCCTATTGAAAGACCCGGGTATGATATCCGTGAATCGTATCACCGTATTGTGACTTACGGTTTTATAAGCCAAGTTGCTAGTCCATCTGTTCTGAGCAGCTCTTTCGTATTAGACAACATGCTGACCGGTGCCGCATGCCCTGATTTTAGGATAAAAGTCTCAGCTGGTGATTCCCTGAGATATATTGACGATGTTAATACCTACCATTCATGAAATCGGGAAGGTAGACGAGGTACTTTCCCTTGTCGGCATAGTTATCGGCTAGGATACGATTATTC